TATACTACTATAACAATACAATAAAATAATAACATAATCATATAATAAGATAATGACATAATAACAGAATATGACGGTCATAGGGGCTGGTTTGCCCGCGCCACATGGGGTAGAATCCGGGGCAACGTCGTTTGGACTGCGCAGGCGCGTACTGTTGCGGCTTGGCACCTTTCCAGATACGCGCAATGTCGCACGTCGAATTCGTAAATTGGATGCTTGAGACGTGGACGTTCTGGTCTGTTACAGCTGCTATTCCCCTGAGATGGGCAGCATTTCTGCATCTTTTAGGCTGGAAAGGGTGTCGGTGCAAAAACGCTTGTTTTCAGACTTCGCCCGCAGACTCCTGATGGAAGACTCAGGAAATGTTGTTGACAGCATTCCAACCCCCCGTTCTTTTTTAAATTCTCCCACGTTTGCTCCCGTCCCTCCCCGCTTTTTTTAGTCGCGCAAGCTTGCTTCAAAGCACATGTATATGTTAGAAAACCATGATGCCAGCAATGTGTGCAAATGGGGGGGGGGGGGGCTGCGCCCCCCCCCAACCCCCCCGCTTTTTTAAGTCAAGCAAGCCTGCTTCAAAGCACACGCATATGTTGGAAAACCATGATGCCACAGCATTGTGTGTGCAAATGGGGGGGGGGGGGGGGGGGCTGCGCCTCCCCCAACCCGCCCGCTTTTTTAAGTATGTTGGAAAACCGTGATGCCAGCACTGTGTGTCGTGCAAGCTTTGAAGCATACGTATGTGTTTGAAAACCATGCAACCAGCATTGTGTGTGTACAAATGGAAGGGGGCTGAGCCCCCCAACCCGCGGCTTTTTTGAGTCGTGTAAGCTTGCTTCGCACACACATATGTTGGAAAACCATGATGCTAGCAGCGTGTGCGCAGATGGGGGAGGCTGTGCCCCCCCAACCCCCCTGCTTTAAGTCGCGCAAGCTTGCTTCAAACCACACGTTTTTGTTGGAAAACCATGATGCCAGCATTGTGCTTGCAAACTTTTTTAAGTCGCGCAAGCTTGCTTCAAAGCGCACGTATATGTTTGAAGACCATGATGCGAGCATTTGTGTGCACAAATGGATTTTTTTAAGCCGCGCAAAGCCTACTATAGATAACATTGTCTCCGAAGGGAGGGCTTGTGGGCATCTCATGATCTAATAATACACTAATATAATCATATGTATATATAAGAATAAGAATAAGAGTAAAAATGAGAATAAGAATAAGCATAAGAATAAGAATAAGAATAGCTTGATATAATGTAATAATACAAACATATACTATACTAATTCGATAACATGCCAAGATCTGCAATAGTCATCGAAAACAAGAATATACACTGAGACTTGCTGAGCCGGTCGCGAGGCCCCAGAAGTTCGTGGCGCCGTCTGGATTGCTCAGTGCCGACAATGTTAAGCACACCTGACATTCAACTCTGCTCGGCAACCTGTGCGACGTAAGTCTTCCCCTAAAGCCGCGCTGGCAACCCAGCAGCTAAGGTGATGCGGACGCTGCAGGCTTCTGGAAGCTTGTGAGAAGTGACGACGCCAAGCCCCAGGCCATGACCATTGGCCACAGCCTCGGCAAAGTACGGCTGAATGAGGTGACTATCCCCCAGCATCAGATGGCAACATAAGTCCAGGAGCACGCCTTCTTTGGGTCAGATTGAGTCGGCTACCATGTGTGCTGCAACACTCGGCATCGTTCAATGAAAGTGCGCGAACAAACCCCGAGGCGTGCTGTTTGCGGACCGCTGAGCGCAAGGGCCCAGCCCGAACAGAATCGAAGCAGCTGGACAAGATTGTAAAGGAAGGCTCGATATGGGGGCCTTTGGAGCAGAGAAGGCTTCTTGGGGGTTCATTTGACAAGGTGGACCCCCTATATGAAGAAATGTCCATAAGGCTCGATGCTGACGTGCGACGACTATGGTCTCTAGCATATAAAACAGATGCTACCAGAGGTAGAGAGCATGCTCCCCAAGAGCAACTTGCACTTTCACAAAGGAACCAAGCACAGATTGCCAAAGATCCCGGCACGTGCACAGAACAAGCCAGAACGCCTACGTAGAGTCTCCGAGCACCACACCCACGCAGACTTTCGTGGCTGAAGGCCATGGGACTGTGGTAGTACATGCCAAGGCAGAACCTTAGCCAGCCAGCTCGGTGCGATGATTCACAGGCCAACCCATTGCACAGAGGGCACATAGCCTTCCTTCAAAGGCTAATCCTGCAGAGTGACAGAATGGGCAGATACACGAGACCTGAGCACAAGGAACATCACTGCTCGCTTTTTTAGTTGCAGCTCCTGCAATTGTGGCAGTTACACTTGCAGGTGATGAGCAAGTCTTCCCGGCAGCGTGGCTGCCAGGAACATGATCTGATCTACAAGCAATGCAGGCGAGCATCTAGTGAGCGCATTGATCAGGAACATCCACAAAAGAAAGCAGGTAGAACCCATCTCCTCGATACAGAAATGGCTACAGGAGGCTCTCACATGTTGCGTCGATCGGTTGAGTCCTTCTCCAGCGTGGGGAAATAGCTCATTGCCATGTACATCCTGAATGCGATCGCTGCTGCACATCGCACGTTGATAACAAACACACAGATACCCAAGGCCACGCAGATGGTGTTCAACATAACTTCACGTAGAGATCGCCAGGCTAAGCGGCTTGATCAACCCAACGACGGGCAGGTGCCAAGGTGCTCAAAGAGAATCATGACGAAGGCCATACCGCTTCTCAGCTCGACGTAGAAGGGACCCCACAGAAGCGTCCACAACCTCGAAGACAAGGTGTGCAGCAACGATGGAAAACATGCAGCCCAAATTGGACATGCTCGAAGGCGTTGCTTTCAGCACCAACACTTGGAAGCCGGCTTGAACTCCATCAAATTGGCCTAAGCCGCTTTAGCTCAGGACATCTATCTCCATGGCTACTGCTGCAGACAGTTGCTAAGGGGCCTGAAAGACACAGAGAAGCGAATCATTGCTGCAATGATCTCCCCCTCCCAACCCGGCAGTTTCCCGAATCACGTCTGAATCGCATGAAGCCGGTTTCCTGAGAATCGCCTGAATCGCGTCCAGTTTCTGAATCGTGTGCCGTTCGTCCTATGATCTGTGCAGTTGAGACGCTATGCTGCAATGGAACAAGCTGTCCACAAGCCAGGCAGATGTTGATGAAGCCGATGCAATCATGAAGACACCGAGGGACATTGCAGGGTAGCCTGCAGCTGCCCGACCCCAAAACCAAGTCTCAACAAGAGTGCATAGAAGTACAAGTAGTGGCTTGCCTGCAACCACCATCCGCGTCAACATCGGGCATTCTGCCCACAGCGGATAGATGACCTGCCACAGCTTGCTGGGCTTTGTCAAAAACATGGTGCAGGCGTCTGCTTAAACAATTTCGGCTTTCGGGGCTTGTAAATTAAGATTCCACCTCTGGATGCCTGAAATCACTGTGCCTACGGCTCCAGCCCAGAATGAGCCGCGATGCGAAGTTTTTGGGTGAAACACCAAGTTGCAAGAGAAAGCGGTGGAAAATGCCGGGGTTATGGGGCTACCTAGGCGGCCGGCCGTAGCCCTTGTGCCACCAAGGGTGCTGGCAGTGCTAAGGCTTAGCTGCGTGCGTCTCCGGGTCTGCGTCCTAGAGTCAATCATGCCGGCGGGGCGTTGCCCATGTCTTCTTGGCGGTTCACAGCACTGGATGACAGGTAAGGGGGCTGCAGCTGCGTGACTGTTTCAGGGTGACATTCCGGTTTAGGGGCACCTCATGCAGGGTGCACGGTACAAAGCGCCCAGAGAAGGCTTGTGGTGAGAGGAGTTTGCTTTGCTTGAAGCGCGTAGCGGTGTACCTCAGGAAGCTTGAGAAAGACCATTGCAGCGGTTCAGGAGAGTATGTCACAGCATTTTGCTAAGCAAGTTCGAGCTGGTCATGGAAACGCCTTTGAGCATTCACCTGTCCTAATCAGCGCATGTCGAAGCACCTGCACAGGTCCAACTGTTACCACACATGTTGTCCAGGATGTTCAAAGATCAAGAAGTATGTGGCGTGCTCGATTTACTTCTGAGCGCCGTTTCTTTCTTTTCATCGAACGCTTGCGAACTGCATCAGATCGCGCGTCTGAAGCTTGAGAGGGCACACCTCACAGGTCACAGTGAGTCGATTAGCATGACGACCCCCAAGCAAAAGGAAACGAACCTCCCGTGGCACTTCCGCGATCGAGCGCGTGGAGCTTCGCGGGCCCAGCACCTAACGAGGCAGATTTCTCCAATACATGCTCCAAAATTTCAGGTTGAGGAGCTCGGCCTTGATTTGACGGATATGCGTGTCGCGTCCGTTCCTTAGGCCACTCTTTCACACCTTCCCCCACACTCTGTTCACAGTTCCATGTGTCTGTCCCATGGACATCCCAGGAACATCCAATGAACCCATGCGCATCCCAAACCTCCGTGGTACTGACAAGGAACTGATGGTTGGTCAGCACGGCCAACCTTGTCTCCAAAGCTGCGCGTGCAGTCTCCCCACATTTTGTAAGGTTCCACTTGTCACGTCGTGCTGCAAATTTGGTCCAGGCTGCTGGATGAAATGTGTACGGACAAATTCTCGAGCACCCCCCATGTCCGCGTCGCGCAAGGTGCAACTTGCTGGAAGCTCCTCACTGATGGCTGGACTGATGTAGCTAGATGCAGCCTCTCTGTGGTCGCACACAAAAACGCAGCAAACAAGGTGAACACCAACGCACAACCAGCGCTCGCGCACATTGCAAAAAATGGCACTCCATCTGGCCGAACTCTTGCTGGTATTGGGCGGGGAGGAACTGGCCGATCATCACCCGTGCAACTAAATAACATCTGTCCGAAGCCAGCAGTAGAATTCCAAATGACCAGCCTCCCATCTCCCCTCGTCAACCCTGTCCAAGCAGTTCCCTGTTGGAAAGCTGGCTTTGGTGCTCCACTTTGCACGTCTTCATATGCTGGTCATGAAGAACCCAGAAACTTTCCGCCCACTCTGTTATCCTGAACTTGTGGTGAATGCACTTCTACGAAACCGGTAACACGTCGATAGGCCCCTCATCACCAGCCGTCCGTAGGTCGGAAGCTCGATTTGGCAAGCGGTATGGAGATCCAACCTTGGGAAGGGCGCAAGCATCAATACGGCAAACGAGCAATGTCCAGGCACGCAGAAGCTTCAAGCACTCTCCGTCTTCATCTTAAAGAAGCGATATACTCTTCACCGAGTCTGGAAATCCCATTCCCGATCACAGCATCGCACCATAGCTCAATGACCTGCACCTGCCCATAGATGGCGGAGGTGAAAGCACAACAGTACAACAGTGAGACGGTCCGATCCAGGCTGCTTGCCTCTTGTAGGTCGTGATGCGCGGTGCCTATCCGGACTGAGATTCGCGAGGGCGTGTATGACCTCAGCCGGTGCGCAGATGCGGAAGCTGCAGATGCTCCAACACCAGCACGACTCAACAACAAGTCACCATAACTCGGGATGCGGCTCGTCAATCTTGAAGCACACGTAAAAGCATATTTCGCTGACCTTGACCTGTCAAGGTGGGAAGTGGACTTTGGACAAAACAGCTCACAGGGGCCTTGCCTTGCGTTGGAACTGGATGTTGATGAGGTGCGGCCTTTGGTGAAGACGCAAGACTCCAGATAAGCTCCACAGCAACCATTGCTCATCGCACCCAAGAACGCCAGCACCTGGGGCTTAACCGGAACCTGAACCGTAACTCGGAATCCGGCCAGACCCCTGCTTGGCATCAGCTGGATATCTGTTACATAGTAGAAAAGTACACAAGTTGTGCAATATGCTACTATACAGACTACCCAGGGTAGTCACAATGCTGCAGAACTTTCATGAGGAACGTGAGGGCAGGACTGAGGCCCGTCTGATTGCCAGAAGGTGTCAGTACTTCCATCACGCAGTTGCTCCACTCCTGGGCTTCTTAAGGTTTAGGGTTCAAGGTTCAAGGGCTTAGGGCTTAGGGCTTCGAAAGGTTGCAGGTTCAATCAGAATCTGTGCCCTCGAGTTGGTCCAGCAAGGACTGTAAAGCTCAGAGTTGTGATGACACTACAGTTCCTGCTTAGGCTGCTTAAGTTTTGCCCAGCATCCGTTGCCTTGTTTGGCCGAGGACAAGGACCAGGCTGCCTCGGGGCCCAAGTCCCGAAACTCGTCGTCCACCTCCAAGCCCTGCCCACCGTGGCCACCCTGGCCACTGTGGCCCTGGCCCTGGCCTCCCTGGCCGCCCTGGCCGCCCTGGCTCTGGCCTCCCTGGCCCGGGCCCTCCGACATGAATTAAAGGCCTTCTCTCCAGGGTCTCCAGAGAAAGGCAGAGAGCTCTCGAGTGATCTCTACGCTATGTGGCAAGAGTTTAGTTGGATCCTCGGGACCATCCTAACGCTCCACATCTCTTTTTGAAAGTGTCTCTGCGCACATTTTCTTCAACACATGTTCAACACATCCCATCTCATCTTGGAGGCTTCTTGAGCCTCTGAGCTGCTTCCGAGAGACAAAAAGAAACATCCCTTTACAGCCGCCTTCCCACAGGGTCGTGCAATTCTGCGAGAATGCAACCAGCATCACGTCAGCGCTGTTGGGCTCAACTAAGCATGCCACTCTCTTTTGAGCTGAAGCTCGGCCGGACTGCGAGATGAATGCGTCCCCCTTGGAGGGTTCCAAGCACGCTTCAAAGGATGAAAACATGGAGCGGGCAGTGAGCACTGATGCGCACTGCCCAGCTCGAAAGCAAACCTTGAAAGCTTCCACATGCACGTTGCTATGAAACGATGTTTCCGACATGTCACGACACCTGGCATGTGTTGACAGCACAGGTGCAGTTCGAAACTACCGTGTACTGGACTGGATATGAGTGGCAAAGCCTAAACCCTGTGATCACCGTCATCCCCACACACCATGCTCTGGAACCTGCGAAGCAGGCCGTGAGGTAAGAACTACTCGAAATTGCAACCGGCAGCTCCTGTCTGCAGGTGAGACCAGCAGAGCCTGTGTTGCGATCTGTTGCAACCCCCACAGGGTTTAGGGTTTAGGGTTGAGGGTTGAGGGTTGAGGTTTGAGGAGTTTAGGGTAGGGTTTTTGAGGCCTGGTGTCATTCTGGGAACTGTGCGGGCTGCGAACGTTGCAAGCTTATCTGCAATCGCCGTGCCGCGGGCATCTCATGGCCCGTCGGCAGGTCACGGACAACTGCCCATAGAGCAACTGAACAGCACTTGTCAGATCCGATAAACAGGCCCAGTGCTTTGAGCACATTGGTTCGTCTGCACCTACATGAGAACACTATCAAACTAAAGTCCTACAGCTTCTCAGGTCATCTCTATACGACTGGAACTGCACACCTGGCATAGCAGCCTCTTGGATTGGAGCAAGATAACAACCACTTGAGTACTCCGCCATCGAGCCTGCGAAGAACTCCTACAGAAACGCTGGTCTCCGTCAAACACCCAAAGAATCAACCTTAGTCAGGACCCACGGCAGCTCCACTATGAGATGAGACTACATGGTCCACTTGTCCAAACTTGGCCGAAGGGCATAAGAGTCCCAAGTGCCATCCCACTCATTCGATGGTGGCACTTCAGCCAAGGTGGTACAACGCTTGGCCATCCTTCACACGGGAAGCCCGCTCCAATTTAGAGCAACATGCAGCAGAAGCACAAGTCAGCTCACCACAGTTTGTGTCTTATGTGCAACTCAGAGTCAGGGAAGATGGTACGTCATCTTCTCCATTGAAATCTGCCAGGATGGTATTCACCTGCTCGAACTTCCTTGCCGCGCTGGAGAACCTGAGAGGGCCCCCCCGTCTGCACGTTCCCCCCTAAACACTAGCAGTCCCTAATCAGGATTTCAGTACCCCTGAACCCTAAACCCTAAACCCTGAACCCTCAACCCTAAATCATAGAAATCCTGCTGGAAGAGGGGGGAGCATCCCAAGCTACTGTTGTAGCTGGGGGACTCCCTTCGCCTGTACTCGCAGATGCCCTCTGCATGCAGAGAGAGGATGCGCTTTAATGGACTCGATGGCCTGGAACAGCAGACACATGGGTTTTTTGGGTTTAGGGTTTAGGGTTGAGGGTTGAGGGTTGAGGGTTTAGGGTTTAGGGTTTAGGGTTTAGGGTTTAGGGTTTAGGGTTTAGGGTTTAGGGTTTAGGGTTTAGGGTTTAGGGTTTAGGGCATGCAAAACACGGTAACAAGTCATGATCACCTCCCGCCATCAGCCAAGATGGGGTTTCCGAAAATTTAGGGCACTCCTGAAAAAAAGCCCAAATAGTAGGATTCCCTTATCATAGGGCCCGATAAGGTACCCCAGTTTCGGAAACCACCACATAGAGGGCAGCAAGTATGCGCTTGCAGACAGGGCTCTTCTTTGTTTTCATCGGCATTACCTGGCATGGCGGGTCTCAAACCCTGCCACAGAAGGGCACAGGCTGCGCCCGAAATCCCACAGCTATCCATATCCCCCTTGCCTGTGGAGGAACTACCGGAGAACAAAAACAAAAGCATATCCATCTGTGTATATATATATATATATACTTTGTCTTCTTCTTCTTCTTCTTCTTCTTCTTCTTCTTCTTCTTCTTCTTCTTCTTCTTCTTCTTCTTCTTCTTCTTCTTCTTCTTCTTCTTCTTCTTCTTCCTCTTCTTCTTCTTCTTCTTCTTCTTCTTCTTCTTCTTCTTCTTCTTCTTCTTCTTCTTCTTCTTCTTCTTCTTCTTCTTCTTCTTCTTCTTCTTCTGCTACAGGGGCTTGAGGAACCCCTAAGGGCCCTCCGCGCACTGGGCGCGCCCAGACCAAGTCCAGTCTCTCTCTCTCTCTCCCCCCTTTGCCTCATACACGAGCTCGCTTGTGGCCTCCTGTACCTGCATAAAGAGTGACACACAGGATGGCATCAACTAGAGCGCGCCAGCATGCTTCAAATTCTTAGGTTTAGGGTTTCGGGTTTAGGGGTTTAGGGTTTAGGGTTTAGGGATTTGGGGTTTAGGGTTTAGGGTGATTCCGCCAGGGCAAGGAAAGAGTACCCACTCAAAGACTGGACAACGTGGACTTGCTGCGGTTTGGACAGCTTCGCCTGTCTTAGATACGTGAAGTCCACAGGGCGAATGAAGAACTCATTCGGATCGAGCAGTTCATAGGTGCTTTCCTGACATGACGGGTGGTCACAAAGAATGCTACTAGGTTCACACTCGTAAACAAACATCACAGCCAAGCGTCCGATATCAGTATACGAGTCTTGTACGTCTTATTCAGCTCCTCACATCGCAGGATCGAACAGACTGCGCGTTCTGTTATTTTTCTTCAAGCTCACCTGATCCACAATCGGCACATGCGGTCCTCGAGCTTGCCTGCAATGGTAGACTCTTCACCTTTGCAAGCAGCTGTGCTCTGTGTCGGGTGCTCCCTGCAATCTCACCTCAGGAGCCTCAATACATGGGAATCTGGATGCAGACAGGGTTCCCACGATTCCGTACTTCATGCGAGAGGAGAAGCCCATGTTGCCAACCAGCACACGGCCTGTGTGAACTCCGCACCTGTGGCAAGTCTGGTCAAACTGATAAAATTATCTGGGAACTTTTCGGGGTGACGAACTTTGAACTGAATGACGCTTGCAAAAAGTCCCGCCTGTATACCATTTGCGCCAGTCTAACTGTCTTAGTGTCGTTTTTTGCGCGCAGCTGAGTCTCATCGAGCGAAAGAACGATGTCCACAAAGCGCGTTCCGCGCTGCAGGACGGCTGAGGCTGCCTTGCATGTCTCAGCCTGAAGGGCCTTGTCCTCCTCCTCACCAAGCCGTGCAGCGTAGTCATCTTCCGCAGCAGCGACGTGTTGGAGCGCAGATGCCAGCGCCCGGCAGCCATGCTCGCAGGAGACCTCCGGATGCAGCCATGGTAGGCTGGGTTCTTCCTCGGACGACGTTGAAGCTGCAGTCTCCAATGCCTCAGCTACCTGGGGGGGGGTTCCGAAATCCGCCGAGGCCTCGGGTCGGAGGTGTATAGGTTGTCAGAACAGGCACCACACCCAAAACCATTTTTCGGACCCTTTTTTTGCCTCAAATGGGTACCCCCCCTAAGAAACCGGGGCCCACCTTTTTTGTGCTGGGCTGCCCCCACCCCCCACAACCGCCGCCCCTCCCCCCCTTCCGCACCCCCCCCCCCCCCCCCCCCTGCCCCCCCCCCCCCCTAACCCCCCCCTGCCCCCCCCCCACCCCCCCCCACCCCCCCCCCTTTCCCCTGCCCAAAGCCACTGCAGGTTTTCGAGGCTCAACTGGTGTGAGCACGGCCGGGATGCATTACCCGAAGAGTCTTCGACCTCAAACCATCCTCCACCCCCCCCCCCCCTCCTCTGCCCCCCCCCCCTCCCCCCTTCCCCCCTTCCCCCCCTTCCCCCCCCCACCCCCCCGCCCCCCCCCTGAGAAGGCCTGGCTCACCCTCGATCAACAAGCCGAACCGTCTTGAACCCTAAACCCAAAAAAATCCTAAACCCCCAAAGCGTGAACCTTGAGCCCTAAGCCCTCAATCCTAAACTAACCCTCAAACCCTAAACCCCAAACCATAAACCATAAACCCGACCCCTAAACCCCTAACCCAAACCCTTTTGCTTGGGGTCCAGCGACTTGGCGCTGCGAATCACCATGCTCACGCGGATGCGCTGGGCCCGGGCCGAGCGGGTCGCGTAGCGTTAAAATAGAGGTTCCTTATTGGGGTCCTTATCGTAACGGAATCCTACTATTTGAGGGACTCTATTCGGGGTCCCTTCGTAATCCCCACCTGGACAATCCAGTTGGGAAGACTTTTCCACTGCTTTGGAGAAGGTTTGACAGCAAAGCGTCGTGAAGCTCAGCATGAATGAAGCGGCGCCGTTTGGGGCTCACAGCTACTCTCCAAAAGCACAACGAAGCTGCTGGCCTACCACCTTCAGCAGCCGCCCAAAACTCCCCACAGCGGATCTTTAGACTCATCTGTGCCACTTTGGTGAGGCAGCAAAGGCTGGCGAAAGCCCAGCAGCGGAAAGCAGAAGTCGAACTGGGAGGGCTCCCTGGCCACCAGCTCCACACGAAGTGCCCACTTGGCCTGCCAGCTCGGCACCTCATCATCGGCCACCATGGGCACTCCATGCAAGACCTCGGCTTCGAGGTCCTTGGCCAGGGCGTGGAGCAGCCGCGCTGGAAGGCCACCGACCACAAGGAGGCCTTCAGCGCGGCACAGCTCGCACACAGCATCCGAGACATCACCTGAAATCAGCAGCGCCTCTGTACCATGCTCTGACAGAGTGCGGAGCGCTTCGGACAGCAGCCGTTGTTCCCCAGTGTTGGAGACCAGCCGGGTGCTAGCATTCTGGTAGACTTGCTCCTTGGTCCGGCGTTGCAGCGGCGCACAAGTGTCATAGGCCGCAGAAAGAAGGTCGGCATCCAAACAAACACTTCGTGAAAAGCGTTTGATCGCATCCGCGGTCTCCCCTTGCAGTTGGCGAAGCATTTCGACAGGGCCAGACACATAACTTTGTGGAACATGGCAGGCAACGCCCCGAAACAGCCGCAGGCGTGGCTGCTGCACCAGCTTCTGACGTCCGTATGCGAAGCAGTGCTGGTTCTCAATAGGGCCGCTGTGCCTCTCACATAGTGTTGAGCAAATGTCGTTCAGCACAAGCCTCACGTTGCCAACCATGCAGGCAGCTGAGGCTGTTTCCAGATTGCATGTTGTGTGCTGGGTCTGTTCTGGCGCGTGAACCGGTGGCTCTTCAGGAGCTGTGAAGAACCAGCTCACATCATCCTCCTCACCAAGCCCGACCACAGCGTTCCCGGTCTCGATGTGGATCCTACTTGGGTTGGGGGCAGGAACGGCAGGAAGATGCATCTTTCGGAGGGCTGCTTCTGCTAGGGCAGCTGCACGCCGCAAACCTGTTTGCAGGGTCCAAGCTGACAGGCCAGCCCGGCGAAGCACAGCTGCCTCAGCCAGGAGTCCGGCGCCCAAGAGCACGAGGCGCGCCTGCTCACGTCGACCGTGTGCTGCCGCCAGGCCATCCATGGCCTCACGCAGGAGCTCCACAACCACCTCGTCGAATCCATGCGCATCCACCACTTCAGCGGGGTCGCACGACAGGACCAGCTCCTCAGACGTTGCGGCGGACACAATCTTGAAGGACGGCTGAGAAGGAGCTGCTGCGAAAGGCAGCACGGATGCTGCCAAGGTCTTCAGAGTTCCCACGCAGCCATCCAAAGCATGCCAAGTGTCAGATTCTCTCATTGCAGACATGTCCATCAGAGGGAGAAAGCCGCATTGGTTCCCTATGGATCCCTAGATCTCATCCCGAACCAAGCGCCGAAGTGTGGCAAATGTTCCGGCATCCTTTCAATCGGTCAATGTGTCAAGGTGTCTTGCACATCGCCCGTCTGCGACACACGGCTTTCCCCCAAAAAGGCTGATGCTCCGAGCAGTGGCCTACATGTCTTCCGAGAAGGGCTAACTCAAACAAATCCTCACCAAGCCCAGCCAAAGAGTGACCCCACAATTCGCTTTAGAGACTCTACGCTCTGCCATCGCAAACGTCTAGAATCTTTCCTTACATTTCTTTGGGGTGATCGTCCCAGTTAGAAATCACCCTTGAAAACAGCAACCCAGGCCGGCTCAAACTCTCAGAAACGATGCAAGGCCTGATGTTCACTTCGGGAAGGCGATGCTCCTTGCACCAGTCGCGGATGCGCCGCAGGGCGCCCAGCATCCGCAAGGCAGCCTACGACTCCGGAGCATGCGCAACATGCTCTGGGGAGCTGAGCCTTGACCTTTAGGGTTTAGGGTTTAGGGTTAGATTTTAGGGTTTAGGGTTTAGGATTTAGGGTTTAGGGTTTAAAGGTTTAGGGTTTAGGGTTTAGGTTTAGGGTTTAGGGTTCAGGGTCCTGCAAGCCAATGCAAGCCCGTCCCCCTCGGGCCTCCACGGCCAAGGTCGGATGGCGCTCGTTCTCCAAAGGTGCGCCGTAGACGCATTGGATCGCATCTCCAATGAACTCCAGCACAACGCCGCTGTGTTCATCAATGACCTACCACCCCACACAGAGTCTCAAAGCTTAAAAAAGTTGCTTTTTTGCCTCATGAGGACTCTTCCGGCCTTGGACATGTCATTGAAGTAGCGGCTGAGCAGAAGCAGGCAGGCAGCCGGCTCAATGCTTTCTACCTCGGCTGGAGCAGCTTCAGTCTTCGGAGTCTTCGGCCGTGTCCATGCCCCTCTCGACAAAACGAAGGTTTCCAGATGTCTTCAGCCAGCAGCTATCGTTGTGAAGTTCGCGATATCAGAGAAAAACATGGTTACCTGTGCAGCAGTTGATGAATCGGTAGCGTACTGTGCCACAAGGGGATAAACTTAGACCACACCGGCGACTCGCTGCAGAAATGTGCGACTTTTACGTCTAGACACACCAAAAACCGGGCCTCTCTCTCCTTGACTTCCAGCTTGGCCTCCTCCCCATCTCTCAGAAGCAGCTGTACGACCTTGGAACACAACACAGCCAAAGCTTGCAAGCACGGGCTTCTGCGAGAAGGCCATTCATCCGGCTGGAGATTTTAGGATGTTTAGGGTTTGGGGGGTTCGCAAAGACAGAAGAAAGGACGGAAGGAAAGAAAGAAATGAAGAACGACGTAAAGAAATCACGAAACACAGAGAGACATAGATAAACAATAAGTAAGTATCGCGAAAGAGCGAAAGGAATGTAAACGCAAGACATGTCGAGGCAAGCCGATAAACAAATACATGCTGGGAAAACAACCAAAAAGAGCCCAGCAAATGCATAAGTAGAGACATAAGTAGATATCATGAACAAATTACAACTAAATACTGCAACAAATACATAAACACAAAAAGCAATACTGGAAAAAAAACAAAAACGGAGAACGACATGCACAACTAAAGAAACAGCTAACTACGGAAATGCATACATAAAGATGCACATCAATACAGAACAAAAGATAATTCAATAACGAAAGACATAGACGACTAGAGAAGACCGACAGAACGAAATGGCGAAACAAAACATAAAGACAGAAGCGCATAGATGAAACACAAGAAATTACGACTACTAAACAAGACTGCTGAAGCGAACACATAACAAACGAAAGCAATGCACAAATAAATGTTTGTAATCAAACACGTAAAGAAACCATGCAAAACGACACATACAGATCCACATAAGTAAACAGAACATTGCATCAACATGAACGACGAAATAACTAAGTAAAACATAGAGAGAGAGAGAGACAGAGAGACAGACAGACATAAATAACTGAATAAAGAAGGATACACACGACTGAATGGCATCTGTACGTAAGAAAAATTTGTAAAGAAATACGTCAGCAAAGAAATCTGTCCAGAAATGAAGGAAACAAAAGGAAAGAACAACAGGCAGACAGCCAGACTGGCTGGCAGACAGACGGAAGAAGAACAAGAAGAGGAAGAAGAAGAAGAAGAAGCCAGACAGGAACGAAGAAACTTGCAGGAGGAAGTGAAGGCGGGAAATACGTAATGAAGAGCTAAGCAAGTGAAGAACGAGAAGTAAGAACTGATGAAATCAAGAATAACATAGCAAAATGCAGAATTGCAGAAAGACGTAACCAGCTACGAACGCAATGCAAAAAACAACAAGCAAAGTAACACAGACGGAAAGACATAAAGACAGAGGGCAATACATACACAAAACAGAAGACACGAGCACATGATGACACATGAGTCACATGAGGGACAAAGGCGAAAGTGCAGATGCGCTGTGTGTAAAAAAAACTCCCAAACCCTGGCCGAGCTAACCCTGAACCCCAAGCCATTCACCCATTCCAAGCCCGTCATGCGAGCACCTCTGCAATGGGGAGACCCTAAACCCTAAACCCTAAACCCTAAGCCCTAAGCCCTAAACCCTAAACCCTAAACCCTAAACCCTAAACCCTAAACCCTAAACCCTCCCCCCCGGCAGCTTCGGCCCTGCACAGCTTGCTATGAAGGGGACCTCCTGCCATCAGAAAGAGTTGCTTCGAAACCCGCATGCATCTTTTTCAGACCCATCAAATAAGAACCTGGTGCTTGCTAACGTCCCTTCTTTTTGATTTAGTTCTGTCGTTCTTTCTTTTCTTCATTTCCTTCGTGCTGTCAGTCTGCCTTATTCCCGACAGCCCCCCACTCCCACCCCCGCCCAAACCCCAGTCACCCCACCAACCCCCCCAAACTCTCCCCCCGAAAGAAGAGGGTCCCCGTTCAGGGTCCTGCCCAACCTGCATGAATGCGTCTGGGCACCGGCAGGGGAACATACTTTCCCCACGAGCGGACGGCCTTCTTCATGTTGTCGAAGGTCCTGAGGCTGCTGGATGATGCCCACAACATGCCGCAGCCGGCTTCGGAGGTCTCCAAAACAGGTGGGGGGGGGGATATGCAATGGGGTTAATATTCCTTGTAGCCCCAACAGGACACCAGCTATATACAGTCACCCATATTAAAAAGGAACCTTAAAAACACTCACCAATAGCAGCAATATACACTCATATATACTCATATGAAGCGATGGGATGCGACGTGAGCCCACCTTCGGATCAGAAGCACCTCGCTGGTCTCGGGCTCACCCCCAGCCTGCGTCAGAGCCGAGGCATGGTAGGGAAGCAGCAGTCGCTCAGTTGCATAGCAGTGCATGATACAGCGCCAAGAAATATTGCAACTGCGAAGGGAAGATCATCGGGCGCCTCCTCCTCACTGCCCACACCCGCAAACTGCGCGATGCTCTCCATGTCGTCGGCAAGGTCACGCAGGGGCCTCCGCGCTCACCACAGCAGCTCGGTCCCTGCGCATCTCAGTGGAACACGATCGGCCTCAGCAAGTGGTGGGACAGGTAGGTGAGGTCCCTGGTGAGGAGGACGATCCCAAGGAGGATGATGACGATGACCTTTGCAAAGCTTGAAAACTACGATAAGACAATGGTAGCGTGATCAGACAAGCTCATATCAGACCACTGATAACCCTGTCAGTCCTAGCAAGTCCATGGACGCTATCTGAGAGCAGCCAAACTGCCGAGGCTGTGGTCGAGAGCGACATCCATGCCTGGCAAAGCTGCATGCGTCGTGCGTTGGCCACAAGCTGGGACACGCTCTCGCTCTAATGGAGTGTGTTAAAGCTTGACATGCGCCTCTGTTGAAGTTCGAGCACGATCAAAGATCACTGCAATGGCAGTTGTCCGAAGCCTGGAAGACGGCGGAGATAGGCCATTTGTCACTAGTGCGAATGATCACTCATGGATGACGCAATGATGCTGTAGGGGGCCAAGGAGCTCCAACTCCTCTGGCGAAACTTCGCTATCAGAGAAGTCCTTGGTTGAAGCATTCTGATAACTGCAACTGGATACATCAAGATTCTTTCCAGACAAGGCACCGGGAATCGGAGCAGCACAAGATCAACTTGCCTGAATCTAGCGTTGCTATGAGGCAAAGAAACTTGATGCATTGGTTTGAACAGCACACGATGAGCCCAGAGCCCGCCTGATGCCCGTGCTCCTCACGTCATCATCCAGGTCATTAAGGACACGTCGTGGCCCCTTGAAGAACTGGACGGAGGAGCATGAGCCGCCTCATGTCCAAGCATCCGACTCAGAACCAGCTGCGGTTTTGTCGACACGAAGGTCTCTGATCACACCCTGCCTGAGGAGATCTCATTGCAGTACACCTGCGTCCCCACATCTCCGTACATGTCTGGGATAAACTCTACACCGACAGGAGGACAGTTTTGGAGTGGCTGAAATGGAGCCTCTAGTGCGCACCGGCACAACGCCCTGGCCTTCTTGTCCAAATCGAGATAAAGCAACGATCTTGTGCCGATGCTCTTCTCCATTGCATGAAGCCACACCTGCCACAAATTGCCAGGCATCACACTGAACTCCTGCCCTCAGCAGTTCTGAATATCCCAAGCAACACTGGAGCTACTTGTACGCCCTCCTTCTTTCGAACTCGTTGAATCGCACTGGATCCCTGTAAGCGGCCTCAACCTGCTCATTGACAAGTTCAGGAACTTCAGCATGATCCCCGATGTCGGGAAACTCGGATCGAACCTCGGAGTCGGACAACTCTGCTGCACTAGCTCGAGACTGCCACGAGCAACCTGGGGGTGTGCTGCAAAAGCTGATTTATGTCTCGACTCAACCTGTCAGGTCAGTCAGATGCACACGAAACACTAAACTACACCCGAGCAGCCTGCTCCCGCTGACTTGCGCTGCAAGCGACAGGTGCTAAGGCTTAATGGCCCTAAGCCCTCACTCGCCCTGAGCCCTATAAACCCTAGGACTCACGGCTTCACAGTGGGCAACGCCAGTAGTGTTGTTTCCAGGACTCAAGCCAAATTCCCCCCCAGTCCCCAGGAGGCTTGATACCCACCCTCGTGCTGCCGAGGCCACCAAGTTGTCACAGAAGCCCAGGCCGCGAAGTGCCGAGTTGTTGGTGAGAGTCGGTTCGATGATGTTGAGGACGAAGAGAAGCCTCAGTGCTGCGCCTTCCGTGAGGCGAGAAAGACCCTTCGCTCCAACCTTCCTTCCAGGGCACGCCAGAACACCCAGCGCCACCTGGACGGCCACATATTCCTAAGTCCAAGGAGCAGTTGATGACAGTGAGCTGAATCTGAAACAGTGTGAACCACGAAACAACTAAGCTACAGCCAAAGCTCAGCATGCCTCGAGGTGAGGTTCTTCATGTTGCTCGCCTGCTTCAGCTGCTGCTCGCAGGAGCGTCGCAGCTTCTCTTCGACCCACTTATCTTCCAACATGAGCTCTTTGAATGCCTTGGAGCTGCAAAATGCCAAGATTTCTGCAGCAAACTGCGTGGGGGGACCTTCCGCGCACATGATAAAATCATGTTTGCAGGTCAAGTCTCTTCAAAATCTATCATCCCGACATCCTCCTCCTCTTCTTCATCGGGAGTTTGCTTTGTTAGCTGGGACGCGGTGCTGGTTGCCAGACTGACCTGCCAAGTCACTGGAAAGCTGGCTGTGTGCAGCTTTGCACGGCATTGGCTCTTGTGGCCCACAAGAGCAGTTGCAGAAGTGAAAGGAACCCTAAACCCTAAACCCTAAACCCTAAACCCTAAACCCCAAAACCCTAGTCAGTGTGCTCAAACGATGTCATGTCAGCCCCCGATACGGGCCTTCATCCTGGCCTGAATGGTGTGTGCCCTGCTGAGGGGCGACCGGCGCCGCGGGCCTTTGTTTCGTCTGATCTCTGAACTGGGTTTAGGGTTTAGGGTTTAGGGTTTAGGGTTTAGGGTTTAGGGTTTAGGGTTTAGGGTTTAGGGTTTAGGGTTTAGGGTTTAGGGTTTAGGGCTTAGGGTTTAGGATTTAGGGTTTAGGGTTTAGGGTTTAGGGTTTAGGGTTTAGGGTTTAGGGTTTAGGGTTTGGGGCCCCTATAGAATTTAAGTTTTTATGGGCTATAAAGAGTACATAGGGATTAGGACCCATAGAAATCTAGAATTTATTCTAAATCCACCCAAGTGAAACCACCAGGCGTGGCTTACTGTTGGATAGTAGGGAATGAGGTTCCCTATATCCCCCTATATATACCCTTTGAGGGATTATATAGGCTACCTCATTCCCTCATTCCCTACTAACCGCCAGTAAGGTGATTGCACTTAGATGTCGGCCTTCATCTTACCCTTGATATTCAAATCATGGATGACTTATGATGTTCGCGCCACCGGCCTTTACTCATGCTTGCCCAATCAATGCTAAATGTCTGGGCGTAGAAGTCAGCTTCTGCAAGCGGGGAGATCCTGCAGGATTCCTAACATCAAGAGCAAGACACCGGTGGCGTCCAATGGTACCCATCTAAATCTGACTGATTTTTACCTCATCTACTTCCAGATGCAGCCTGGAGACTGGCGTGGCTGCTTTCTGGCTTGGGTGGAATGCTCTGATGCTCTGTGGAGAACGGAGTCGGAAGCGCATCCATCGGGCCTGCAACCAGAGAAACCAGTGCTTAGTCCACCCTCCCAGGCCCAAAGGGCAGTGGAGAATCCCGAGCTGAACTCCGCGCCTGGTCCTGAGGTTGCTTGTGATGGGTTTGGCGACTCTGGCTCGAAGTCGAAGTCAAGCATCCGCTGTGATGTCTTCGACCTGCAACACATCGCGCATCGGCTTGGTGACTTCGAAATGCTGTCAGGTAACATGTTCCACTTCAGGACGAGTTGCCATGAGGATGCAAGGAGGAAGCATGCAAGAACCACAGGAAAAGAGGGAATGGTGAAGGATTGGTGACGTCTCGGTGGTTTCAGCTCTGGACTTGGACTTTCCCGAGCACTCCCTGCTCCTATCTGGACACATCCGGGGCGAAACTTTATGGTTTAGGGTTTAGGGTTTAGGGTTTAGGGTTTAGGGTTTAGGGTTTAGGGTTTAGAATTTAGGGTTTAGTTAAGCATTCTGAACTTTGTACCTTTGCAGGTGGATTAGAGCACGCACGTCGAATTTCTCCTCGTGGAACTTGCTACTCGTTGTTGGGGACTCCAGCGTGCATCCCTCGGCAACTTTGCCGCTGCAATTTCGGTTCAAGGGTCTGGATACCTTCCGGGTGGGATGCTGAGCCTTCTACGAGCAGTCCTCCGTAATAGGGATCATCATCGGGGGTACTATAGTCCCTATTACGGGCTGTTAGTATAGCTTTATGAAACGAACTTCCCAACTTTCAGTTCGCCCAGTTTTGCCACTTCTTGGGAGAGCGGCGCACGGCGCCTAGATGCCCTCAGCGCACAGAACAACAAACCCTAAACCCTAAACCCAAAACCCAAAACCCTAAACCCTAAACCCTAGAGCCTAAACCCTAAACCCTAAACCCTAAACCCTAAACCCAAAACCCTAAACCCTAAACCCTAAACCCTAAACCCTAAACCCTAAACCCTAAACCCTAAACCCTAAACCCGAACCCTAAACCCTAAACCCTAAACCCTAAACCCTAAACTCTAAACCCTATAAACCCTAAACCCTAAACCCTAACCCTAAACCC